GGATGCCAACTCTCGCTGGACCTCACAAGCGCATTCGATGTTGCGGATTGGGGGCTGATCCAAGCTGCATTGGAGGACGCCGACATTCCCCATGACCTCCGTGCGTGGGCCTTATCCTGGTATGATGGCATTACTTACCACATCCAACATCTGGGCCAACAGGCGAAGGCAGAGGCATCCAGGGGATTGCGCCAAGGATGCAAACTAGCACCATTGATATGGGCCCTCCTCACAGCATTTATGCACAAACAACTTGCATCGTCTTTGGACGCCCAATGGCTGGCGCAAGGTACCACCACCTTCGCGGATGATTTTCTGCTACAGGATACAGCAGAGAATTACCAAGCCCTAGATAGAGCGAGTTCCAGATTTGCCACCATCCTCGACTCCTTAGCAGACCACGGAATGTGTATCAACGCTAAAAAGTCGGCTTTTCTCATTCGCTACAGAGGACACTTCGCGAGGAAGTGGATGCGGCAACATACAGTCCGTACCCCAGAGGGCGACCACCTCCGCATCCGCACCCAGCGGTCCAGGCTATTTGAGTTCCCTATCAAGGATCAGCACACCTATCTTGAGGTGATACTCAGTTACCACTCCGCGCCCAAGCAAACGGTTGCCCATCGAATCAGGGAAGCCAACGGAACCTGGCAGCGACTGAGGCCCATCCTGTGCTCCCGTAGCTATCTGTCCGAGCAGGACCGGGTCCGGCTGTGGAGTGCGACGGTCCTCCCAACCTTGGTGTACGGAGTCTCTGCTTCATCACCAGGTACCAAGGATGTACAGCAAATGCAATATGTTGCCACTCGCCACCTACGTGCCATTGCTCGTTCCTTTGCGCATATCAGCAAAGAATCCACGCTCAATCTGCTCGCCCGACTGAGGGTGGCCCCCATTCACAAGAGGCTCCTTCAAGAAGCCACGGCCCTCTCTCAGACCCTTCTACGCCTGGAACAGGCACAGCACCCCATGCTGCCGGCAATCCGGGATCGAGTACGAGAGACGGCAGCGGCCCTACAAGCGGCTCAGATCAGCACCGAAACGGCAGACCTAGGTGACCTAGGCGTTCACCACCATGCGTGCAGAGATTGCGGACAGCAGTTCAGGACCTTCCGCCTCCTCCGAATCCATGAAGCAGCGTATCATCAGAAGAAAACCCAAAAGGAGAACGGACCTATCTTCGACAAGATGGTACATGGGTCGGGAGGCCTGCCAATCTGCTCATTCTGTAAACATGATTTCCGCCGTTGGCACAACCTGTCCCAACACATTCGTTGGAACAGGTGCCATGTTATGCGCGAAAGCCCGGACCAAGGGCAAGCCAAGGCCCCAACGTCCTCAGCTGCTGAGGTCATTCCCCAGGACAGGCCCCTATATGAGTGGCCCAACATTCGGGAGGCTCTCGACAAATTTGGCTGGGAGAGCCTCTTGCTCAACCCGCAAGTCCAGGCCTATCTGCGCCATTGCTGCCCGCTCTGCAAACAGTGGCATGCAGACACTACCAGTCTCAAGCGCCATCTGACAACCCAGCATTCCAGCTGGCCCGAGCACAGCGCAGAAGCTAGGCAGCTCATGAGGAGTTTCCGCAGGCACACCGTCCTTCCCTGCAGGTACTGTGGCCAAAGCGCGGTAAACAAAGATAGACATTGGTATCAGTGTCCAGTCATAAGCATCTGTGCCTTCCTGCAAGCCCACCATGTCCCCCTCGACGGAAAGGATACCCATGGATCTAGACCTGGAGGAGTCGCAGTTCTTCAACCGGTTCTCCCAGAAGCGGAGCCCCGATCCGAAGGAGGAGGACGACAGACAGAAGAGCCAGCGCCTAGCGGGTACGGAAAGCCACCGAGGGAAGGGCAAGGGCAAAAGCCAAGGCAAGACAGGGTCCAAAGGCAAGGGAAAGGGCAAGGGCAAAAGCAAGCACAATCCGACGAGCTCCTGGACAAGCAGCCAAAGCTGGGAGGACTACACAGGTGGTTCAGAGCCACCCCCGGCACCATGGACCAGCGACCACTCGAACTCATGGGGAGGCGACAAGACCCAGGATCACCTCCACAAGCTCACACAAGTGGTGCTCCGTCAGGAACGAACGATTGCATCTCTTCGCCAGGACCTGGTCATGCACCTCTTCGTGAAAGGAGGCGAGACGGGAGGGGGTATCATACCGGTCCTCTTTCGGACGGCAGAAGTTTGGAGAGAGATGAAGGAGCAGGAGCCGCACAAGCTCACGTACTCCCTCAAGATTGCAATGTTCAAAAAGCTTCTCCTGACGTTGCACGAGAGGCTGGAGGCAACGGCGGCGAACCAGGAGGCTCTACAGGAGGCCAAAAAGCTGGGGTGGCTGGACGAGCATGGCCACTGGAGGGTGCTCCGCTGGAGTCACGACACTCAGAAGCTGGAGGTGGTGGAGGCAGCGCCTTCCAAATCCACGTCAGACCTCCTGCAGCAGTTGGTGGACATCAGAAAGAACGTCACGGAGGACAACCTGCACCACTTCAAGAGTGTTCGGAAGCTGGTGCCTCGCAGCCCACAGCTCAGTGGATACAATTCCAGATCGAAGTGTCGCTGCGGCCATCGGGAACCCCGATCTGGACGATCCTGCAAGAATGGGTGGGGCAGGCTGCCTGGCACACCATCGGGTGCCGATTGCGCAAGGACCGGCCCCACTACGACAACACGATCGAGGAACTCTACCAGCTGAATCGATGGTGAACCGGCCAGACACCATCAAAGCCCTCAAGGCCACGCTCCAGCTCTCCCTGCATAACTCTACCTCGTTATGCTACATCAATTCCACCATCAGTTGTCTTCTCTGGACCGTGCTTCAGGCTCGGCTGCATGGGATCGCTACCTTGACAATAGCCCCGTGCCTACAACTCTTTTGTCTTCCCAAGCCCTCTCAGCATGTCACCAAGGTCACGACGGGGTTGCAATGGTCTCTGCTGCTTCAGCAGTGGAGGCACGTGCACCAACAGCACGATGCAGCAGAGTTCATCCACTACCTGTTACCGAGGATCGTGCCGGGGCCAGAAATGGGAGCATGGCAGGCCAGGAGCTCCGAGATCACAGCATCCGTGTTCTTGATAGTGGCGACTTGCGCAGCCCAATCCCCCTAGCTACCAGTGAGGGGGAACACTGCAATCTCCAATGGAGCGTCGACCGATGGCATGCACAGGCGGCAATCCGAGGTCTTCTGTACCCGCCTCCACCCCTTCTGATACTGCAGCTGCTTAGGTTTGCCAATCCGGACGGCCAATTAACGCGGGACATCCGACCTCTTCGAGGCCACTACGGCCCCATTCATGTCCCCATGTTCCACGGGCCGGGACTGGAAGTTACACTTCTTTCCTACCAACCAGCTGCCTACCAGGCTCATTTTGGCGAGCGCCCGGACAGGGGACACTACCGGGCAGTGCTGAAGGGACAAAAAGAGTTCGGAGACACACGCTCATGGCTCACCGATGACAATGTCGCAGCAAGGCATGTGCAGAGCACACCGGACGCGCAAGCTTACATAGTCTGGCTCTACCTAGTGCCAGGCATTGACGTGTGAGCCGCGCTGTGAGGATTAGTTTCAGTTAGGCTACGGATCCGAACCAAG